CAAACTGTTCCAAAAAAATAGAAATGGAAAGAAAACTTCCAAACTCATTCAATTAGGCCAGCATTATCTTGATTCCAAAACCAAAGCCCTCACTAAAAAGGAGAATTATGGGCCAATGGATGAACATGGATGCAAAAATTCTCAACAAGATATTAGCAAATCGAATCCAACAGTACATGAAAAGAATTATTCACCATGATCATTGGGATTTATTCCAGCGCTGCCAGAATGGCTCAATATTTGCAAATCAATCAAGGTGATATACCACATTAATAAAAGAAAGAATGAAATCCATATAAGTCTGTCAATAAATGTATAAAAACCATTTGATAAAAATACAGCTTCAATTCTTGATAAAAATCCTCAACAAATTAGGTACAGACAAAATATACCTCAACTACATAAAAGCCATATACAAAAGGTGAAAGCTAATATCCTCATCAATGGGGAACTCTGAGAGCTTTTACTCTAAGATCAGGAACAAGATAGGGATGTCCACTCTCACCATTACTATTTAACATAGGATTGGAAGTCTTTGACTCAGCAATCAGACCAGAAAAATAAATAAAGGATATACAATTCCACAAGGAAGAAGTCAAACTTTCACTATTTGCAGACAAAATGATACTCTATGCAGAAAACATGGAAGCCTCTTCCAAAAAATTGCTAGAACCAGTACATGAATATAGCAAAGTTGCAGGAAATAAAATCAATATACAGAAATTGGTTTCATTTCTATACACCAATAATGAAGCAGCAGAAAGAGAAATCAAGTAATCAATCTCATTTACAACTGTACCAAAAACCATAAGATATCTAAGAATAAACCTAACCAAAGAGGTAAAAATCTGTACTCTGAAAACGATAGCACACTTATGAAAGAAAGTAAAGAGGGCACAGAAATAGGAAAAAAATTCCATCCTCATGGATTAGAAGGACACACATTGTTAAAATGTCTATACTACCCAAAGCAATCTATACATTTAATGCAATTCCTATCAAAATACCACCAGCATTTTTCACAGAGTGGAAATAAACAATCCTAAAATTTGTATGGAACCACAAAAGACCTCGAATAGCCAAAGCAATCCTGAAAACAAAAAGCAAAACAAGGGGCATCATAATTCTGGACTTCAAGCTATATTATAAAGCTGCAGTCGTCAAGACAGTATGATATTGCCACAAAGGCAGATACATAGATCAGTGGAACAGAATATAAAACCCAGAAATGGATCCACAACTATATGGTCAACTCATCTTCAATAAAGGGGGAAAGAATATCCAATTGAAAAAAGACAGCCTCTTCAACAAATGGTGTTGGAAAAACCAGACAGCAATACGCAGAAGAATGAAACTGGACCATGCCCCAAAATAAATTCAAAATGGATGAAATACCTAAATGTAAGACAGGAAACCATCAAAATCCTAGAAGAGAACACGGGCAACCTCCTCTCTGACCTTGGCCATAGCAATTGCTTACTAGACACATCTCCTGAGGCAAAAGGAAACAAGAGCAAAAATGAACTATTGAGTCCTCATCAAGATAAGAACTTTCTGCAGACAGAAGGAAACAATCAATGAAACTAAAAGGCAGGAGAAGATATTTGCAAATGACATATCTGATGAAAGGTTAATATCCAAAATCTATAAAGAACTTATCAAACTAGACACCCAAAAAACAAATTATCGAGTTAAGAAATGGGCAGAAGACACGAATAGATATTTTTCCAAAGAAGACATCTGGCTATCTAACAGACACATGAGAAGATGCTAAACAACCCTCATCATCAGAGAAATACAAATCAAAATCACAATGAGATACTACCTCACAATTGTCAGAATGGCTAAAATTAACAACAGAGGAACAACAGATGTTGGTGAGGATGTGGAGAAGGGAGAACCCTCTTACATTATTTTTGGGAATGCAAACTGGTGCAGCCACTCTGGAGAACAGTATGGAGGTTTCTCAGAAAGTTAAAAATAGAACTAACCTATGATCCAGTGTTTGGCATTTGCCCAGAGGATACAAAAGTACAGATTTGAAGAGGCACATTATTCTGGTTTTTAAAGCAGCAATATCAACAATAGCCAAACTATGGAAAGAGTCCAAATGTCCATTGACTGATGAATGGATAAAGATATGGTGTGTGTGTGTGTGTGTGTGTGTGTGTGTGTATATATGTATGTATATGAAAAAGGATGTGTGTGTGTATGTATATATATATATATGAAAAAGGATGAAATCTTGCCATTAGCAATGGAACCAGAGTAAATTATGCTAAGTGAAATAAGTTAGAGAAAGACAAATACCATATAATTTCATTCATGTGAAATTTAGGAAACAAAACAGATGAATATATGGCAAGGTGGAAAAAAGGAGAGAGGGAAGCAAACAATAAGAGACTCTTAACTAGACAGAACAAACTGAGGGTTGATGGAGGGAGGTGGCTTGAGGATGTGCTAAATGGGTGGTGGGTATAAGGAGGGCACTTGTTATGATGAGCACTTGGTGTTATATGTAAGTGATGATTCACTAAATTCTACCCTTGAAACCTACATTAAACCACATGTTAACTAATTAGGATTTAAATAAAAATTTGGAAGAAAAAAATAAATCATAAAGCAAACCTTCACAAATTTAAAATGATTGAAATCATATAGGATATATTTTCTAACCATAATGAAATCAAACTAGAAATCAACAGACAAGGACAACAGGAAAAATCTCCAAATATTTGGAGATTGAGCAGCACATGTTTAAAAACCCAGGAGTCAAACAAGAGGTCTCAAAGGAAATTTTAAAAGTACATATAATGGTATTAAAGTGAAAAATACAATGTATTCTTTTAGGCTGCAGCTCAAGCAGTGCTAAGCAGGAAATTTTAGTTCTAAAATGCTTATCATAGTGAAGAGGGAAGGTCACAAATTGATAATACATTTTTCTATCAATGAACTAGAAAAAAAACTTAACCCAAAGTAAGGTATAAGGGAGAAAATAAACTTAAGAGCTAAATGCTACAACACTGAAATAAGACAATCATATGGAAAAAGCAAGAAACACTAGTTCTTTGATAAATTTAATAAGTTGAAAAATCTCTAGCAGGAATGAGAAGGTTAAGATGGCAATCACTGATGTCAGAAATGAAACACTCCAATAGTCATTAACAGGATAGATAATAAGGACCGTGACAAAACTGCACCCGTAAATTCCATACCTGAGATGTTTTGTTTTGTAAGTTATATATCAGATCATTTTATTTTCCTTGGAGCAACTGTAAATGGTATTGTATTTTAATTTCAGTTCCACATGTTGTTACCTAGAAGTGCAATTTATTTGTTTTTGTTGATCTGGTATCCTACATCCTTGCTGAAGTCACACATTAATTTTATGAAGTTTTTTTTTTTAGATAGATTCCTTGAGATTTTTTTTTTTTACATAGATGTATCTTTTACAAAGACATTTTACATGGACATTTTTCTTTTTTTCCTTTTCAGTCTGTATGTTTTTTATCTCTTTGCTTTGCCTTACTACGCTTGCTACAACTTCTAGAGCTGTGTTGAATCACAATAGTGAGGGCAGACTTTTGCACCTTGTTCCCAGTCTTAGGGATAATGTATTCAGTCAGCCCTTGTAAAGAACTAAATTCTGGCCTTTAATTTTTTCTATTCTTTTTCATTTTTCTATCTCATTGATTTCTACCCTCATTTGTGTCATTTCCTTCATCTACTCTTTTTTAACCCTTTATAGAGTTTTTGCGTTTGGTATTGGAAAGCAATTAACTTAATGGCAACCTTCCTTAATCCTCTTATTGCTGAGTTTTAGGCCTTCGGTAGGGAACTGGGGAGATAAGAGTATCTCTTACTCTAGAGCTTGATTTGTCCTCCGAAGAATTAGCCTTTCTGGTCTCAGCTGAATGTCTACATGAGCAAAGTCACTGTACTCTGTCCAGGCTGAAAATCCAACATCGCCCAACACTGCTTGATGGTTAGTATTATCTCCATTTTACCCTCTACCTTTCAGTAGAGTTTTACCCAGCACACAGGCAGCCTAATCTTTAGTCAGGGACATGAGGACAACTCCCCTCCCCACAAAAAAATCATACATCTGATGGCCCCTCTTCTCTGGTCCTGTATCGTGTCAGTTCCAGCTACTTTAGCACTGAATTCCAAACTCTTCAAGTTCTGCTTGGTTCCAACTCCCCATGCTCTGCTTAAGACTTTATCCTCAGTCAAAGGGCCAAGTTGAATGTGACTCACGTTCTGGACTTTCTTTTCTCTCAGAGAAAAAAAAAAAATCCTGATCAGCCTACTGTCCAATTTCTCCAAATAGGAGTCTCATGTATTTTGTTCTGCTTTCTACTTGCAAATGGTGAAAAAGACAATGTTGGACTAATTATTTTTAATATTATTATCTCTCAATTCCAATGTAACAACAGAACCTGACTCTTCACTTGCATTCACTTCTTCCCAATCACCTGTTCTCACAAAATAAATATCTCACAGGCTAAAGCTAACTTTGTCACATACTTAAAAATTTCTTGACTCCTATTGGCAACACAAACTATTGTTTCACATGTGAACCTATTCAAATTCTGTACCCAATATGCTTTTGCATTCTCACTTTCCCTTTCTATAAGGCAGTTCTTTCTAGAAGGTCTTTCCACAAAGCAATTCCCACCACTTCCTCCACTGCTCAGGTTCTACAAAATCTCAATTAAAATGACTCTGTGTTTGGGGTTTCTTATTCTTAGCTCCTTAACCCACTTTCTGTCTAAGACCTCTAAACTTTTCATAGTTTGGATAGGAGATTCCTGAGTTCCAAATTTGAAAAGTAGTTGTTCCATTCAAGCCTTCATAGTAATTTTCACATTATATTTTGGCTTCTAATCTGTTTGCCCAATAATTTTGTGGTGTAGAAAGCATTCTTTTTCTTTCCACCAACAGCACTTCAAGGATATTAAAAAGAAATGTAAATCTACATAACATAAAGCAAAACATACCTTTATAAATGAAGAATCTGGATACAATGTTCCTGATTTGTTGTATGCATACACGAGGAAATGAGGGTCTAAAAGTGACCTAATCCAACCAAAGGTAATGACACTTTATTGTAATAGTAACATAAACACAAGCAAAATTATGAAATTAAGCATAAATTACATTCAATTTTACACTTTCAAATATCCAAATATTAAATTGGACCATCTCTCCATTATCTCATTTGCTTTCTGATAGCATATTTTCTATACAAGAAAACATAATGAGTAGCATAATCAGGTATCAGTAGGGACACCATAATGGCATAGATTTATGTATAATAAAAACCAGGACTTCCAGATTCCCACAAGAAATTTTCTTTAAGATTCAACCATCCATAAATCTCAAGGCATAAATATATTTGCTAACAAGTAGCCATGGATTGATAAGAAACAAAAAATACATGCTTTTTCTGATAGTTTTCATGAAATTACACTGTGGTAAAAACAACCCCAGAATTCTCAATGCCTTAAAACAACAGTGAATGTTTCTCACATGTTTATAGTAGGGTCTACTCCACACTATCTTCATTCTGGAACCTGGGAAAAGACATACCTCCTACCCATTGGAACATCCCTTTCTTGTAGCAGAAGAGGAAAAGAAATTGTAGAAGCACAGAATAGTTCTTAAAGCCTTTGTTTAGGAGATAATAGACAAACCTCACATAAATGGTACCAAAGTGGAATCTTCTTACAGAGAAGATAGTGATTCTTATTGAACAATCTGACACCATTATTTATTGCCAGGGGACCTGAGGTTTCTCAAGGATTCCAAATATCAAGGGGCAGTTCAAGGCCAATCAAAGAAGGACTAGAGCATTCACAGAGTGCATACTTTCACCACTACTTCTCTTTCCAGACAGCTTTCTCTTTTCCTCAATTCAAATAACAAAACCACAGAGCTTCCCAGAAAACAACAACAACAACAAGAATAACAACGGATATTTATCAGCTCATATTGCACATATATTCAAGGACATGCCAAATGACCTGGGTCGGTTTTAAATACAAGTACCCAGAATATGAATTCTGGCACAAGGGCAGAACCTCATTTTAGTAACTAAGCATGTAAACGGAGGTGGTGGAAATGGAAATCCAGAATCATTTCCCAGAAAAAGGAAATTCAACAGATTTCTGACAGGCATAATTAAGAGTAGAAGATATTTGCAGATGACATATCAGAGAAAGGGTTAGTATCCAAACTCTATAAAGAACTTACCAAACTCAACTAATAATCCAAAAACAAAATAATCCAGTGAAGAAATGCGCAGAAGTCATGAATAGACACTTTTCCAAAGAAGACTTCCAGATGGCTAACAGACACATGAAAGGATGCTCAATATCACTCATCATCAGAGAAATATAAATCAACACCTCAATGACATACCAGCTCACACCTGTCAGAATGGCCAAAATTAACTACTCAGGCAACAACAGATGTTGGCAAATTTGTGGAGAAAGGGGAACCCTTTTGCACTGTTGGTGGGAATGCATACTGGTACAGCTGCTCTGGAAAACAGTATGAAGATTCTTCAAAAAATTAAAAATAGAACTATCCTACAACCCAGCAATTGCACTACTAGGAATTTATCCAAAGGATACAAAAATGCTGATTCGAAGGACCACCACATTCGATGCACCCCAATATTTATAGCAGCACTATCAACAATAGCCAAAGTATAGAAAGAGCCCAAATGTCCACTGACTGTTGAACAGATAAAGAAGAAGTGTGGCATATATACAATGGAATACTTCTTGGTGATGAAAAAGAATGAAATCTTGCCATTTGCAATAAAGCTGATGGAACTGGAGTGTATCATGCTAAGTGAAATAAGTCAGTCAGAGAAAGACAAATATCATATGATTTCACTCACGTGGAATTTAAGAAACACAACAGATGAACATAGGGGAAGGGGAGGAAAAATAAGATAAAAACAGAGAGGAAGGCAAACCATAAGAGACTTTTTTTTAATTGAAAAAAATATTGATTCATTTTTGAGAGAAAGAGAGAGAAACCGAGCACGAGCATGGGAGGGGCAGAGAGAGAGGGAGACACAGAATCTGAAGCAGGCTCCTGGCTGTGAGCTGTCAGCATGGAGCCTGATGTGGGGCCTGAACTCACAAACTGTGAGATCATGACCTGAGTTGAAGACAGAGGCTTAACTGACTAAGCCACCTGGGTGCCCCCGTAAGAGACTTAAATATGAAGAACAGAGGGTTCCTGGAGGGGGCGGGGATGGGCCAAATGGGCAATAGGCTTTAAGGAGGGCACTTGCTGGGATGACCACTGGGTGTTATATGTAAGTGATGAATCACCGGGTTCTACCCCTGAAGCCAATACTATGCTATATGTTAACTAACTTTAATTTAAATAAATAAATTTAAAAAAATAAAAAGATAAAAGTTTAGTTTGCAAGTTTATTCATCCTGGGTATAAAAGTATAGCTTTACCTCTACACAAAGAACAAAAAAGGGGCGCCTGGGTGGCTTAGTCGGTTAAGTGTCCGACTTTCGCTTGGGTCATGATCTCGCGGTTCGTGGGTTCGAGCCCCGCGTCGGGCTCTGTGCTGACTGCCGGCTCGGAGCCTGGAGCCTGTTTCAGTCTGTGACTCCCTCTCTCTCTGACCCTCCCCTGCTCAT